TACTGTCGGGTGTGCTCTGATCTCCGCTGATACGAGTTCGTGACACCAAGGAAGACACTGTAGAGGAATAGCTGAGGCTGCCTGTTCTACTTGCAGCCAGGGCTTAGGATTAGCATCCTGGCACCAGTCTACCACTCTGGCCAGATGGCAGGCGGTATAGTAGAGCGAGGCGTCGGGTAGGCCAATACCACCGTTCGCCTTTGAGAGACGTAGGAGTGCGAATTTCAACCTCGGGGGTTTGTGGGCCCAGAGGAATTGTGAGAACAGTCTATTTATAGATTTGAGGTACCCGAGGGGGATCTGGATCGGTAGAGCCTGGAAGAGGTATAAAATCCGGGGCATGATGTTCATCTTAATAATATTACACCTACCGAACCAGGAGAAATGGCCGGAGGTCCAATGGAGCAGGTCCTGTCTCAGCTTGAGGAGTAACGGTGGGAAGTTTAAGTTAAACGTCTCGGACAGGTTCTTTGGGATTTTGGTGCCTAGGTACGAGATCGCCGAGGTGGTCCACCGGAAGGCAAAGGATTCGCGGAGACCATCGACCAGAGCTGGTGCATTCGCAGGCATTTACGAACCCGTTTAAGTGCGGGGTAGGACATGCTGGAGGCGGACTTAGAGGAGTCTATCAATGGTTCTAGTACAAAGTTAAAGTCCCCTCCTACTACCCACACCCCGTCTGCAAAGAGTGAGAGACGTTCCAGTACCTGTTCCAAGTAGGAGATCTGGCGGTTATTGGGGAGATATAGATTGGCAAAGGTACAAGGTTGACCGCCCAGGGTCCCCTTGACAAAAAGGGCCCGCCCCTCCGGGCACGCCCATGTGTCCACAAGCTTCCAGTCGGAGTTACGATGGAGCAGAATGCTCACACCCTTAGTCTTAGAATCTGGCGTGGAGCAGTGGTATGCATGAGGGTAATAAAAGTTGTGAAATTTGGGGACCTGGTCTGATCGAAAGTGAGTTTCCTGGACAAAGCAGATTACACTCTTAAGTCTCCTAAACTCCTGCAGGATCATGGATCTCTTTTCGGGAGTGTTCAAACCCCTGACATTAAGGGATGTCACTGAGGCGGCTGTCACCTGAGGCATCGTGGCGGGGTCAAGCTGCCTTTTGAGCCCCCGGATCCCTGCTGGAAAAGTCTTGAGATGGGGGTGGGAAGAGAATGGGGGAGAGAACATTGTAAGTTTTAATGTGGCATCACACATATTTATTACTCTAATAAACGTAAAAGGTCTAAATAATTGAGAAACCCATGTAGTTCAATTCACCTAAGGGTGATATGACTTTGCATCACTTGTCTTGGCCTGTTTTCACATGATAACTTTTTTTAACTGAACCAGATTCATTACACGTTTAGTAATCTGATAATGTTATAAGAAAATGTTTGGGTAAGCATGATACAACATAGATGTGCAAAGAATCAGCTTGCCTAAGTGCACTGTGCTTGTTTACTAATTTTTAAGGCGTGTTAGTGGCTCCTGCAGATTTCCAAAACATTGATGTTGTCTGTTTTGCTATAAAGCTGTTTACAATTTCCGGCTCAATTTTAACAATTAGAAATAATACAGCCAGATCTGTTTAGCACATTGGGTTTTGTATTCCCCCAATTAAAAAATATTTTCTGACTTTTTGTTGATAAATATATTCAAGAAATGATATGACTGACATGACTGAACCTGGAATAATACATTATCTTCAATGGGTGCAGCTGGAGAAGGAATTTTATAAAGGCAGTGGGATTTTTTTTCTGCTTTGACATCGCATCTTTTTACGTCAATCTCTTCTATAGTTCTGGAAAAAGTGGGTGAAATAGAGCAGTCTTGCAAAATGAAACGCAATTACTTAAACAACTTTTATAAATTGCAAAACTCTGTTCAATAATCCTGTGTGTGTAGCCCCTCGGTATCCAGCCAGATTCAGACTCCCATCCTCCATCTGCCATTTCCCTGTAGAACAATTTGTCAGAATAAAAATAATTCTCTTTTTCCTCACAGTGGAAAGGTTGCTATTGTTTCCTGGGTGATGCTACTTCACTAAATTATTTTGTTCCCTAAAACATTTTACAGATTGCTGGTAGATTTCCTTTTAAAAGGCTCGTTATGGGTTTTCTATAAAAGAATTTCCTGATTACTGCGAGAAACACGTGTATCTCTGAATCAGGTCTATAGGTTTCCTTAGGGAATAACAATATCAAATATTAAAATGAGTAAAAACTTCAGGGGCACGGTAGGGGTTAGAACCTATGACATTCTCATTCTCCTTTCTCTATTTTCTCCTCTTCTTCTTTCTATCTCTCACATTTCTCTCTCTCTCTCTCTCTCTCTCTCTCTCTCTCTCTTCCTCATCTATTTTCTCCTCTTCTTTCTTTTTCTCTCACCTTTCTATCTCTCTTCCTTGACTACTTCTTTCTGTCTCTCTAACTTTTCTCTCTCTTCTTTATCTATTTTCTCCTCTTCTTTCTATCTCTCACTTTTCTCTCTCTCTTCCTTATCTATGTTCACCTCTTTTTCTTTCTGTCTCTCTCACTTTTCTCTCTGTTTCTTATCTATTTTCTCCTCCTCTTATTTCTGTCTCTCTCACTTTTCTCTCTCTCTTCCTTATCTATTTTCTCCTCCTCTTCCTTCTGTCTCTCTAACTTTTCTCTCTCTCATCCTTATTTTCTCTTCTTCTTCTTTCTATCTCTCTCACTTTTCTCTTTCTCTCTCTCTCTCTCTCTTTCTTCTCTATTTTCTACTCTCTTATATCCTCTGGCCTTCTCTCTCTCCCTTCTCCATCTATCTCTCCTCTTCTTGACTCTCTCTCCCCCGCTTTCAGGTTTTGATAGAACACATCTTACAGTATCTCTAAGTGTTTTGCGTTCCCTGTCAAAACGTCAATTTGTATCCCTAGTTTTTGGTGTCCTGGGGTTTGTCTTTGTCAAATATGACATTCTTTTATAGCATGAAATATTTGTTAAAGTCTTTTATTGCTTGATTCATTGGAGGGTTTGATTCATAGACTTCGTTCTGGAAGTTTTTCGAACAGGTGTCTGCTTTCTGTGCTGTTTAATGGTTGCCAGTATTTCACAGCTGATTGTTTACACAGGCATAGATTCCCATAATTAATGTGACAAAAAAGGAAAGTACTTTATGTTCAACCTTTTATGATTTGCATTGGTGTGTATCCAGAGAAAAGCACAGTGGAACCCTAAAGTTTTGTCAGGCCCACAAGCCTTATTCATATCAAAGACCAAACTGCGACCGGGAAGGCATTGCTAGTGCTTGTTATTATCTGTATTATGATCATCAAAAGTTTCACTTTGCTTATGCATGGAATACTGCACATAGCATCTTTACAGCTGCAGACTATTCTGCTTAAATTTGCCTTCCCTGGTTCCTCCTTTCACCACTTATTAACATGCACATTACATTTTTAAATAAAACCCTTACACTTTCATTACATACCTTATTTTAGACTTAATAACATCATCATTGGTTTTCTGTGCTTCTCTATGTAACACAGGCAGATCATAGCTTGTGGAAAGGGCTGGCAGCATAGCCTCCAGAAAACCTCACAACACCTGCCTCAGTACTCCTCTCAGGAGCCCTCATCTCTGATGCAAGCAGTGGGCTGGCTCTTAGATGGAGCTATGCAAATATAAAAATGCCTTGATTGTTGGATGTCAATCTAGAGGAGTGGGCTTTCCTTAGCAGTATTTATTTGCATGCTGTTCACTCAGCTCACATGTGTTGCTGAGCCTCCATGACTGAAAGAATAGAATTTCAATGCATGAAAAGAGCGAAGACATTTCTAAGCCAACTAGATGTAATCCCTCCAATGTGTTCTCGATGTAGACCAAATAATTGTACCTGTTGGATATGACTTAGATAGCTTCAGATGTATGCATAAGTATAAAATACCCAGGCCACTTCGTCAGGCTCTCTTCATATATAGTAGAACGCAAAACAATCTACAAAATTTAGCGTTCAGTAGAGTGGAGGAGAGTCAGTAAGTCTGTCAGGTTTTCATTGCTCTTGGTGTATCCACTAGGGAGATTTTCTTTAATTTCCTGTCTCATGAGACATGAGAGAACGTAGGTCTCTGCAAACTGGCAGGAAATTCTACTTTTGACAGTTGTCACTAGAAACAATATCCCCATTGAAAGATTTCCCCTTTACTTCCTCTTTCCAAGTTCAAAACAACTCTTTTTTTGAATTTCCTATCGCTCTCTGTCATTGTGCCAATAGAGACTCTCCCCAGCAGGAATACAGACAGTAATAAACACCTAAAAAAGGTTCTAAGCATTACACACTAAACTTGTAGACCAGGGGTAGACAAACTTGGCACTTCAGCTATGGTAAAACTGCAAACCCTATCACAAATTGAATTTTCATGACAGCTGGAGTGCTGACAGTAGATTATAGACACCCCAGACTTCCAACTGCACTGGTTAATGGATAGTGTATCTAGGGGCACTTTGTGTTATAGAAGAACTTATTAAAGTGACATTAAACTCAGGAGTTAAAGCTTAAAAATGCATTTAAGTACCTTACTAACAAAAATGTATATTATTTGTGTATCACTCGGCTGTAGATCTTCAAATCATCTCTGAATTTGTGCTGACACTGTCCTTCTTTCTGGATGGTGGCTACATGTGTTCCCCATGGTCCCTGTGTGTGTTCTACCTTTTTGACTGCGAGCCCTGCAGCCAAATTTTCAGTTATGGACAAGTACAAATGATATTGATACCTACCTGCTATCCTTTGAGAAGATAAGCAGGCAATATCACTTACCTCAGAACCGATGGCCCATATGTTTGACTCCAGGGCTAAGAGGCAAAGCTCTGTATGCCTATGTGGAAATGCCACCCGAGCAAGACAATGATTATGAAGCCTCAAAGGAAGCAATCATGAGGAAGCACCAGCTAATACCAGAGGTGTATCATAGGCGGTTCAGGTCCATGCAAAAGAGGTCTGCAGACTCCTTTCTGGATGTGGTCAGTCGCTTACATACCACATTCAAGCAGTGGACCAAGGGGCTGAAAAAAGAGTCTTACAAAGCTCTGGAGGACCTGATGATCCAGGATCAGCTCCTGCACATCTGCCCTGCAGAAATCAGGCAGTTTGTGCTGGAGCGCAAGCCAGAGTCTGCCACAGCGGCAACTGAATTGGTAGATACCTATACCAACACTCGGGTATCTGACCATCGCTGAGCTCCCCCTAGTGGCTGGAAAGGAGGGAAATCGCCAATAGCGATGCCTGCTACATTGGTGAGTCAGCCTTTACAGAAACCAGCAGCTGGAGTGCCTGGTGCCAAGCCAGCATCAGCGGACCTTCGCAGGTATTACAACTGCGGCAAACCCGGACATCTCAGGAGCCAGTGTCCTGAGCAGAAGAAGATGACATCACCTGGCCAGCCGGTCAGTACCCCTTCTTCTGTGCTGTTCATCAACGGGAAGTCGGGAGGTAACCAGAGCAACTTGCAGCCGGTTGTCATCGGTAACCGGACTGGTTTTCGAGACACTGGATCAGAGGTAACTCTCGTCCGTCCAGAGCTCATAGAAGACAAAGACATCATCCCGGAAAAGTTCCTTACCTTCACCGGAGTTGGGGGCACTCGTTCCTAGGTGCCTCAGGTTCATGTTTTCATTGATTGGGGGGCAGGAAGCGGGATTAGAGAAGTGGGAGTCTTCCCACACCAGTTTTGTTGGGCACAGACTTTGGAACCCTGATCTCTTATGCGCCTGCAGAAGACTGCACCGGACTCTCTGAATGCACCAAGGTACTGTGTACAGATGCAGCATTAACATCTGGGCAACTTGAGGGTGAGCAGAGGGGGCAGGTAGGTGGGGTTGAATTGAAAAACCTTCTGCACCTAGGGACTGCGAGGAGACGATTGTGCAAAAACAGGTAGTAAATGCATGTGTAACAGATACTGTAACTGTTAATTCCAGAAAAGTAAATTATACTACGGTGAATGTTGATTCTGTAAATGTTAAAGTGACATTAAACCCTCAGATTTTTTAACATAAACCAATACTGTAATGTGTGCCTTACTGTAATCCATGGTAGTTTCCCTTCTCTTTGCTGCTCTTCCTTTTAAATCTGTATCTCTTCTCATGCCGGGGGAGAACTTCCCTTTGCAACTGAGTGCCTCTTCCTGTAGTGCTGGCTCAGGTTGTGAACCTACACACTGACACCATGGGGGTGATTTACTAACCTAAACACACACACACACCAGGTGTGTGTGATTTTCACACAGCAAAACGTATTTATCAACCAAAAAGTCTCTAAAAGCATATTTCCACTAATGCCATATATGGAAAAATCATGCACATGATGCATATATAATGCTGCTTCACAGTTTAGACAAAAATGGTTAGCTCATGCATTTACATTCCTTGCATTCATCAACGCAAGCAACACAACATAGAGCTAATTTACCCAACATCACCTTGGAATTCCTTTAGGGCTTTGCACAACACACCTGCTGGGTGTGTACACATTACAAAGGTGTTTAGATTCCACCCATAGATCATGCTGGGAGGGAACACACTGCAGAGGTGTATACACGTTGTGGTGTGTTTATAAGGTTAGTAAATCAACCCCCATGTATCCATTCCAGAGACAAGGCAGTCTGCTGCAAAACAGAAGTTCTGCCCAGCTCTCTGACTCTTCTTCGGGTCTCTTCAAATTCCAAAAAACAGAGATCTGCTAATTTGCGCCTGTATAGTTCTTACGTGAAGCACTAAAACTGATTGTTATCTAGAGTTTCCTCTGGACCTGGCATTAATCAGTTTAGGTAATATCTGATTGAGCGGTATCGTAAATTCCTAATAGTATGGTAATGGTTTCGCCCAGCTCAGCGAATTCCCTAATAAATTAGCAATTGACAGATTTTAGATAAACACACAGGCCTGGTAAATTTAACGATCCAGGTGACCCAGCATTAACCCTAAGGTCATACAACTGAGTTACAATATAAACTCAATTTCATAACTTGAAGAATTGGAGAGTGATATTGTAACATTAGTGGTACAAATAGCTTGGTCTCGTCAAGGCGAGAACAGGCATACCAAAAAATAGATAATTATAATCTCCCAGGGCCCGACAGGTGACATTTACCTTCCTGGTCCCCCCATCATTCTTATTTCTGGCAAGTCTGGTTTCAATCTAAAGCTAACTTCATGACGCATCATAATGTAGGGGTTGTCAGACAGTATTGGATATGAATAGTCAGTTATCCTCTTAGTTATGAAATTAACCGTTTGGGAGGAGCAAAGGAGGACATTGTAAAGGCTCATACCTCCTGCTTTCCCTCCCCAGCCCTGCCTAGGGATCGGCTCTGTGACACCCCCTAGAGGGCTGACAAAAAGATGCTGCGAGGCAGCTAGAGGAGGTTCTTGTTTGTAACGTACTTCCGTTAAAGTACGTGATGGCAGTGAACATTTGGTGTTGAAAGGGTTAACTGCGGAGTTAACCAACTCTAGTGACGATCACTTTCAGTCTGCTAGCCTGAGATTGTTGTCCCGCGACCTGGAAAATCTCTGTGCATGGTGAGGCAGAGAGTGGTATTGCCACGCCCTTGTGACAGCCCACTTGGTTCCGAACTGCATATAGTCAGGCGTGGTTGACATACAGCGGGTTCAGGCCGGGTGTACGCCCCCCTAAAATTCTCAACCAGTCACTTAATCCGACTACAGGCCTGGCAGGGCAGGAAAGGGGGGGGGGGGGGGGCCCCCCCCCCCCCCCCCCACCATGCACCATACCAGGCCTCATGCCCTCGGCATTGGGAGGGTGCTTTTCAAGGACTCTTTTCGCCACAATTTGACAGATGCCGGATGAATGTGAACAGACGGAGCTAGCGGTGATATCACCGGGCGGAGTCGGTCATGATGTCATGGCTGTCCCCGCCCATTTGATGTCATGCCATGACAGGTCTCCTCCTTTGTAGTCCAATAGTAACTTAATTCATTAATGAATACAGAGCGGGATCCAAGCTGTCAAACTGATGGCTCAAGCCTTCAGAATACACAGGGAAACACACTCTCCCTGTGTAATCATGAGAGCTCTGTGACAGCTGGGCCCTGTGCTCTGTTTATCAGGAGCACACAGATATCCTGGCACAGAGCAGATGGCTGTAACACTGACAGTGGCATGCCACTGGTTAAACAGGTGACCTCCCGGTGTAATCTGCAGAACAGAACTATCAGTGTGACAGTTAGGTCCAGCACAGTGCTGGACAGGACTGGGCTATGCAGAGGCTGGAAAGGCTCCCATCCCAGCTGGGCCTCCCCCAGCACAGCACCCAAGGCAGTTGCCTCTACTGCCTCAGTCCTGATAGCACCTTTCAGAGCACTGGGGCTCTGTAGGCTGGCTTCTGTCAAGTACACGTCTCTGGGGAATCACGTGGTAAGCTTAAACTGCACCACACGTCACCAGCTCTGTGGGCAGTACACAACACACTAAGTGACAGCATGTCAGCTTCTACAGCACTGTCTTAGTGTAACAGTTCTTCCCTAAATAGGCAAAATATTTAGGTTTACCTACCCGCCATATCAAAATAGGCCAAAAGATGGAGCTGAAGAGAATCATCTCTATTTACCATAGCATAGACTGTTTTACTTTCATTAAAAAAAAACAAAAAACTCCCAGCATTTCTCTACCCAAAGAGAAGGAAACAAGAGCCTTTTGGGAATTCAGCTTCATTTTAGAACAGAGAAGAGAATCCACTGCCATCCGCAGCACAAGTCGGGAGGAAAGAGCCCACATCTCTCCTAGGCAGCATTGCTGGCATGGATGGACTTGTTTTGCTCTGCATTTGTAAGCTGACATTGTAATAACATGTTTCATATATTGATTGTATGTTCCCATGTTCTTCTTTACCAGTTTCACCCCACCCTGTTTTGTTAATAAAGCATCAAGATTTCAGTCTGGCTTATTGTAGAATCAAAGGATTTAGCTGCATGTCAATCTATACACAGGCCACAGTGTAACATGTAGCGGGGACAGAGCAGTAACAGTGCTGAGTCCCACAGACTACTAATGCTTAAAGGAGAACTATAGGGTTAAGGCTTTCCCCCGTAGTTCTCCTTAGGGTAATGGGAGGACACAAACTAGCGTCCTCCCATCACCCTAGGCTCAGTGATGGGAGGACTGTAGCTCGTGGTATACTGAGACGCCGCAGCTGAGGCGGATCCCGACAATTGTGGCGGGGTGCGGCCCCG